GACCCGAGCGTGCCAGGCACGCCTTGTGCGCCAGATACGCCACGTGCTCCGAGTGCGCCAGGTGTGCCACACACTCCAGCCGCGCCAGGTGCGCCACGTTCGGGGCACGTGCAGAGTGCGTCAGGTGCGCCTGCGCACGTGACAGCCCGCATCGGGAAACATGTCGGTCTCCACCATCTTTGCCGAAAACCAGTGCCCATCATTGTGTCTGGTGGGCCTGCGCACAGCAGGCCATGCGCCACCACCCCCGCCGTCCCTGTCAAAAACCTTCTTGACAGTGATCGCGGTGTGGCCGCGCATGATCCAGATTTAGCCGCGAGGTGCATGGTGTATTGTTTTGTCAGGGATGGTAGCCCTGCGCGCAGCAGGGAATATGCTGACGCACCCGCCGTCCCTGTCAAAAACAATACAAAGTGCTCGCGGGCCTCACGAACATGACTCAAGACGTGCTCCAACTTGTACTTTGTATTGTTTTTTTTCACAACATCCAAAGTGGGGTTCTTGTTTTCTCTGGACACCCCGCGCAGGAACAGAAACCCACCATCATCATCATCATCACTCATTCCTCACTCACTCACTCACTCACGCACTCATCATCCCTCACACACTCACTCACTCACTCACTCACTCACTCACTCACTCACTCACTCACTCACTCACTCACTCACTCACTGACTCATCAGCGCTCACATATGATGATGATGAGTGTGCGCGTGAGAGAGTGTGATCATCATCATCATCATCACCAGTCAGTCACTCACTCACTCACTCACTCACTCACTCACTCCATCGCCTTGGGCCTCGTCTGTGAGTGAATTGCGAGGAAGTCTCAAGCGGGAGCCCCCTCCCTATGGGGCCCGCGGAACATGTTACTAATCCGAGCGGGTCATCCGATTCCTCTACCTGTCGCCACTTTTGCGCTCTCGCGCTGGCAGAACGCCATTCCTAGGCCACATTTGTTAGTGAATTGGAGGAAGTCTCAAGCGGGAGCCCACTCCCTATGGGGCCCGCGGATCATGTTACTAATCCGAGCGGGTCATCCGATTCCTGTAACTGTCGCCACTTTTGGGCTCTCGCGCTGCCAGAACGCCATTCCCAGGCCACATCTGTGAGTGAATTGAAGGAAGTTTCAAGCGGGAGCCCCCTCCCTATGGGGCCGGCGGATCATGTTACTAATCCGAGCGGGTCATCCGATTTTTGTAACTGTCGCCACTTTTGGGCTCTCGCGCTGCCAGAACGCCATTCCAAGGCCACGTTTGTGAGTGAATTGCAAGGAAGTGTGAAGCGGGAGCCCCCTCCCTATGGGGCCCGCGGATCATGTTACTAATCCGAGCGGGTCATCCGATTCCTCTACCTGTCGCCACTTTTGCGCTCTCGCGCTGGCAGAACGCCATTCCCAGGCCACATCTGTGAGTGAATTGGAGGAAGTCTCAAACGGGAGCCCCCTCCCTATGGGGCCCGCGGATCATGTTACTAATCCGAGCGGTCATCCGATGCTTGTAACTGTCGCCACTTTCGGGCTCTCGCGCTGCCAGAACGCCATTCCCAGGCCACATTTGTGAGTGAATTGCAAGGAAGTCTTAAGCGGGAGCCCCCTCCCTATGGGACCCGGGGATCATGTTATGAATCCGAGCGGGTCATCAAATTCTTATAACTGTCGCCACTTTTGGGCTGTCGCGATGCCAGAACGCCATTCCCGGGCCACATTTTGAATGCCCGGAGCCAATTGTAGGCCACTTCGTGATCTTCGTGCTCCCAGAACACCATTCCCGGGCCACATTTTGAATGCCCGGAGCCAATTGTAGGCCATTTCGTGTTCTTCGTGTTCCCAGAACACCACTCCCGGGCCACTTTCTGAATGTCCGGAGCCAAAACAGGAGGGCGAGGTCGGGGGCAACGTACGGAGCAGGGGGAGGGCCCACGCCAGGGCGAGAAAAAATATACGCAGAAGAGACAGCCAGGACGCCTCACCAACCACGAGGACGACGGTGAGGGTTTTTTCCAGTTTCGCCCAGAGGATTATCATGCGGGGTCCTTCCGTCGGAGTAATTGACAGGGATGATGGCGGGGGGGCGCATCGGGTTGGCCGCGCATGCTCCAAAATGTGGAGGCGGAGTGCGTTTTGTATTGTTTATTGACGGGGATGGTAAAGGGGGCTGGCCCGCATGGGGTCGGCATGGTTCTGGGCTGGCCGCTGGCCAGGTGGGCGAGGGGGTGTATACGAATGGGGAACAGTGATCGAGACACCCTCCTAGATAGCAAGCCACTAGCTCACTCCCACCCGCCTTCCAAACACATAAGTATCACTCGAGCCTGAGCATGTTCAGCGGTCGTCTTTGGATGGGCAGCTACTGCGAACCAAAGCCGACCCCAGGTGCGCGACGCTTGGGCGAGGTGCGCCACGCGTGTCAGGGGCGCCACGCGCGCCAGGCACCCCTGGGGCCCGAGTGTGCCAGGCACGCCTGGTGCGCCAGATGCGCCACGTGTTCCGCGTGCGCCAGATGTGCCGCATACTCCAGCCGCGCCACTTTCAGGGCACGTGCAGAGTGCGTCAGGTGCGCCCGCGCACGTGATAGCACACATCGGGAAACATGTCGGTCCCCACTATCCTTGTCGAAAGCCAGTGCCCATCATTGTGTCTGGTGTCTGGTGGGCCTGTGCACAGCAAGCCACGCGCCACCACCCCCGCCGTCCCTGTCAAAAACCTTCTTGACAGTGATCGCGGGGTGGCCGTGCATGATCCAGATTTAGCCGCGAGGTGCATGGTGCTTTATTTTTGAAAGGGATGGTAGCCCTTCGCACAGCAGGGAATATGCTGACGCCCCCGCCGTCCCAGTCAAAAACGATACAAGGTGCTCGCGGGCCTTACGAACATGACTCAAGACGTTGCCCCAAAGTGTTTTGTGTCATTTTTTAGACAGGGATGGTGGGGGGGCGGCGCATCGGGTTGGCCGCGCATGCTCCAAAATGTGGAGGCGGAGTGCGTTTTGCATTGTTTTGATAGGGCTGGGGGGGGGGGGGGATGGCCGGGAAGGTGGAGGGGGGTAGCCCGCATGGGGTCGGCATGGTTCCGGGTCGGCCGCCAGCCGGGTGGGCGAGGGGGTGTATACTAATGGGGAACAGTGATCGAGACACCCTCCTAGATAGCAAGTCACTAGCTCACTCCCACCCGCCTTCCAAACACATAAGTATCATTCGAGCCTGAGCATGTTCAGCGGTCGTCTTTGGATGGGCAGCTACTGCGAACCAAAGCCGACCCCAGGTGCGCGACGCTTGGGCGAGGTGCGCCACGCGTGTCAGGGGCGCCACGCGCGCCAGGCACCCCTGGGGCCCGAGTGTGCCAGGCACGCCTGGTGCGCCAGATGCGCCACGTGTTCCGCGTGCGCCAGATGTGCCGCATACTCCAGCCGCGCCACTTTCAGGGCACGTGCAGAGTGCGTCAGGTGCGCCTGCGCACGTGATAGCACACATCGGGAAACATGTCGGTCCCCACTATCCTTGTCGAAAGCCAGTGCCCATCATTGTGTCTGGTGTCTGGTGGGCCTGTGCACAGCAGGCCACGCGCCACCACCCCCGCCGTCCCTGTCAAAAACCTTCTTGACAGTGATCGCGGGGTGGCCGTGCATGATCCAGATTTAGCCACGAGGTGCATGGTGTATTGTTTTTGAAAAGGGATGGTAGCCCTGCGCACAGCAGGAAATACGCTGACACCCCCGCCGTCCCTGTCAAAAACGATACATGGTGCTCGCGGGCCTTACGAACATGACTCAAGACGTTGCCCCAAAGTGTATTGTTTAGTTTTTTGACAGGCATGGTGGGGGAGGCGGAGTGCGTTCTGTTTTGTTTTTTTTGACGGGGATGGTAGAAGGGGGGTGGCCCGCATGGGGTCGGCATGGTTTCGGGTTGGCCGCCGGCCGAGAGGGCGAGGGGGTGTATATCGATTCGGAACAGTGATCGAGACACCCTCCTAGATAGCAAGCCGTCTAGCTCACTCCCACCCGCCCTCCCAACAAATAGGTAACACTCGAGCCTGAGCATGTTCAGCAGTCGTCTTTGGATGGGCATCTACCGGGAACCAAAGCCGACCCCAGGTGCGCGACGCTGGGGCGAGTTGCGTCACGCGTGCCAGGCGCACCACGCGCGTGCCAGGCGCCCGGTGCGCCACGTTCAGGGCGCGTGCAGAGTGCGTCAGGTGCGCCTGCGCACGTGACAGCCCACATCGGAAAACATCGGTCTCCACCATCTTTGTCGAAAACCGGTGCCCATCATTGTGTCTGGTGGGCCTGCGCACAGCAGGCCACGTGCCACCACCCCCACCGTCCCTGTCAAAAACCACTTGACAGTGATCGCGGGGTGGCCGCGCATGATCCAGATTTTGCCGCGAGGTGCATGGTTTAGTGTTTGTTGTCTGGGATGGTAGCCCTGCGCACAGCAAGCAATAGTTATGTTGACGCCCCCGCCGTCCCTGTCAAAACGATACACAATGCTCGCGGGTCTCACGACCGTGACTCAAGACTTTGCCCCAAAGTGTATGTTGCATTGTTTTTGACAGGGATGGTGCGGGGGGGAGGGGCGCATCTGGTTGGCCGCGCATGCTCCAAATGAAGAGGCCGAGTGGGTTTTGTATTGTTTTTCGGGAGGGCTGGTGTGGGGGGGTGAGCGTGGTGTCCTCATTGTTCCTGTTTGGCTGCCGGTCGCCTGGGGGAGGGGGCGTATCTTTAAAGGGAGCAGTCATAAGCTCTCTAGACCACCTACACCCAGAGGACTGGTGGGATCCCTCTTGGCACCTATGAAGAGGGAACTTGGAGGGAGGGTGTTTTGCAACATCGTTGATGCGTCTTGGGTTTACACTGGTCCTCCTCCTCCTCCTCCTCCTCCTCCTCCTCCTCCGTGTCCTCCGCCGCCGCCTCCTCCGTGTCCTTCGCCGCCGCCTCCTCCTCCCCCCCGCCGTCCCTTCCCCCCTCCTTCCTCGCTCCCTGCCCTCATCTGCTCCTCATGAGGTCGGTGACTCCATCCACGGAGCCTTCTCTGGCGTCGGGGACTCCTTCGCCAGGCTGAAGAAGAGGCGCGCGGGCGATCTCGTGCACGCCAGGGGGAAGGGGCTCCCCCTCCTCCTCCTCCTCCTCCTCCTCCTCCTCCTCCTCCTCCTCCTCCTTGTTCCTTAGACTAGAAGCATCGTGCATGTAGCCTATAAGAGAGAGCTCGCGGCAGCAGCAACCAGAGGCGGGAAAAAGAGAGGCAGCAGCGGCCAAGACGACGGAGCGACACGGCCGAGGCCCACAAGAGGGCAGGTCCCCCAAGGGTGGGGCATCACGATCAGGAGTGCCTCGAACGAGGGGGCATCACGATAAGGGTGGGGCCCCCAAGGGCGGGGTCCCCAAGGGTGGGGCATCACGATCAGGGCGGGGTCCCCAAGGGTGGGGCATCACGATCAGGGTGGGGCCCTTGGCCCTCCGCCTGCAGCGAGGTCTGGCCACGAAGCCTCGACCCACGGGCAGTGGCGCGTCGGGGCCCGAGGTCGCCCAGACGGGGGCGGAAGGGCTCTCGGATCACGACTTGACCTCCTCCTCCCTCCTCCTCCCTCCTCCCTCCTCCCTCCTCCTCCTCCTCCTCCTCCCTCCCCTCCTCCCTCCTCCTCCTCCTCCTCCTCCTCCTCCTCCTCCTCCTCCTCCTCCTCCTCCCTCCTCGTGGGACACCGACCGCCATCCGACCTGGGCCTCCTGACGACAACTCTGGGCGAGCAGGGAACAAAGGGGGGCGGGATGCGCCTTGGCTGGGGACGTCGACCAAGAGCCATCGGGGGCCCTCCCCTGATGGATGCGGTGGGCATCGTCCCCCTCCTCCGGAACTAGTGGTCGCATCAGCCACGTGTGACATGTGGACCAGTACAAACTTGGTGGGCTTCACACCAGGGGCACCCCGGCAGCATCGGTCAAGGCCTACGGCCTTCGCTCCCCGCTGGGCGGCCAAAAACTTCACCTCAGCCAGCATCCACGAAAAGGGGCCGTTAGGGCGCTTGGGCCAATCCGGGTGCTCCATCCCTCCAAGGACTCCCCACAGGAGAGCAGCGCACAGAAAAAAGGACCGTGGTGCGAAAAGGTTATTGGCCGTCTTGACCTGCTCAGCTTCCTTGCTACTGTGATCCCCTCTCCCCCAGGGGCGATTGAGGGATCTGAGCGGTCGGGGGGCGCGGTCCTGGGTTTTCAACCTCCTGGAATCGAACCTCGCTCCATGACTCGCAAGGGGGGCCCGCCCAAAGTCCCAACACCCAACCTTCTTTCATTCTACTCGGCCACATCTTGACAGTCTCCTCCCTCGTAAGATCCCCCCCACCTTTCATCGTTGGCGATGTCGAGATACAGGACTCTGACAGCACGCGGCCACCTCGCCCGGGCGCGCTCGAGCGCGTGCTGAAGATCCTGCGGCCGCCTCGCTCCCGAACAAAAGTGCAGCAGGAACCTACCCTTCTCCCCCCGCGGGTCGAGGGACCCCCCGCCCCTGCTGGGGCGCCACGGCGCACCCGTCCTCGGCGGGACGCAGCTGCTGGACAGCGGATGCGGGCACGCTCGGCTGGGCCGCGGGGACCCGAGGCGGGGGGGGGGGTGCGGCCTCGGGTTCGGGGCCTCATCTCGACTGCTCCTTATCCTCCTCCGAGGGGTTCCCGAAGCGCTGGCCCTCGTGCTCTTCCCCTCCCACGGCTTGGTTTTGGTCTCCTGAGTGGCCCCTGGACCCTGAAGGCAACCCTATCAGCGTAGCACTCAGGTCTCCCCGCTTGGCCGATTCTTGTTTCTCTCCCCTGGAGCTTTGGCCTTGTCCGAAGCCCACTGATCCTCGAACTTAACTGGCTCGGTGGCGCGCCAAGCCAAGCAGCATCGGGCGGACCTGTCCAAATGCCTGAGCAATCAGCTGAGGCTTTGGTGTTGGACCAGGCATATGGGGCATATGGCGCCGTACGCCCACCTGAGGGGGTCCAGAGGCTTCGCGTGCTCACGGCTTACATGTATCTTCATGGCAGCTTCCGTGTTGGTACATCTATTGCAATGTGGGCACTGACTATTTTTTCCTGGGTCTGGGACGTCCCCAAAATTGGAGTTCAAATCCGACCCTTCACAAGTCTCTTGGATGCTTTTATGCAAGGTCTCCGTGGCCGCTTCCTGTCGAACGGGGAGAACTTCTCGCGCCAGGCATGTCTTGACCGCGGTGGCAAAACAGTGGGGGGGCCTGCGGGCCAAGTCCAGCCACTCTTGGGGCGATTTCGTGGGATGGTCCGGGGGTCCTGTTCATCAGCCTGCCATTCATTCATCAGGAGGGAGAAAATACAGACAAAAGGAGTCGTCGATTCCCAGGAAAATATGGGAAGTGGGGGGGAAGACGAAATCCCAGAACACATGGAAAAATATGGGGACTCCTGGGATTTGTGTCTATTTATTTGTGTGTGTCCCCGGGCCCCTTCCATCAAGCCATTGCCAATGTTTCACAGCTTCATGGGCCCAGCAGCCCATGCTTTTCCACATGGTGCCCGAGAGGGCCAGGAGCTGGTGAGGGGCTTTGCCGAGCAGCCCAGGCACATGCCCGAGTCTCGCCACCCGAACGTACACGAGGGGAGGGGGGTCGGTGAGTCCCCCCCCGGGACCTCGATACTGCTATCGCGTTTATGCGAGTGGTTGGTCCGGGCACGCCCCATGGCCACCCGATGCACTCGGCCGGATGGCGATGGGGGGATCAGGACATGGGGGGATGAGTATCCAGTACCGTTTTGTTGGGGTACAATTTGTACCTTCTCTGCGGGTTGCAAACGCAAATTGTACCTTCTCCCCCCCCCCGTTAACATCCTCGCACATGTCGCGGACGTTGTCAAAAGTACAATTTGTACCTTGTCTGCGTGGCGTCGGTACAAATTGTACCTTCTCCGTGGGGCGTAGGTACAATTTGTACCTCGGTTGCGCCTCTCTCCCCATCTGGACTTATCCCCTCATGTGCATCCCGCCAATGCACTGACATGTACGCCCGATGCCAGCTGGCGGTGGCGGTCTCAGTCAGCGGCTGCCGAATCGCACAATTGAAAGCAAGCTGGGACGGCGCAAGCGACTCGCAGTACTGAATTCGATCCTTGAGCTCGATGCCGGGCCTCGTGGCCACCGTGCGTCGCACTGGCCGAAGTCCAGCATTCATGGAAACGGCCCGAGCCTGAAACTCTGGTCCCATGCTGAGCTGGTCGGTTATCCTGGTCCCGAGGGTCTTGATTTCCCTCGCGATCTTGGTACAGGGCCCTCCTGGATCGAGTTCAACGTGATCTTCTTGCCCCCCAGAGATCAGCCCGCGTCTCTTTGCTCCCGTCCCCGTGGATGCTAAACAAAAGGACTGGCCTATCAAAACTGAGAATGGGACCCTCTTTCGCTGGCGCTCTGGATTGAGTAAGGTATTGAAGAGCTTACCGCCGAGTGTCTAACACTTCTATTGCTGGTCTGCGCAAGGGCCGTGAGGTCGTCCACGAAAGAGACTGCAGCCGTACTTTTAATGTCGGCCGGTCTTCCCCGAAAAAAAAGTGTCCTCGGGCTCGGGCTTCAAGACGAGATCGGACGCAGCCATGTCGTCCTCGATGCGGGTGAGAACGCCCGCAAAAAGATTGTTGAAAAGGTAACAGGCTGGCAGGAAACTTGGTCGACTGCCGAAGCGCGGGGCCGCAATGTCGGGCGCCTCTCGCATGTGCCGCCAGGCGCCGTGGTTGGCCTCGGTGATGAGGGCCACCAGGTGCTGGTCCTGGCACTCCAACTCCGCCAGCGCCTGAGCGACTGCATCGTGGAACGCCGTTGGTATCTCGGAACTTTGGAGAACGTCCTGGATGTATTCCGGGTCCCGAGGAAAGTCCAGGATGACTTCTTTCAAAACCGTATAGAAGGCCGAATAAAAATAAATGGACGCCAGGATGTGAGACCGCTTTTCAAAGGCTATGGCCTGCATGGTGTTCAGAACGGTGTGCGTCGCGTGATCCGTCCCCATTCCTGGGCGACCTCCGCTCTGGGTGGTCTCCATGGCCGCCTGCAAGAATCTGCAAGATGCTCATCCACCGACTCTTGAGGTTTTTACAAAGGTTGGTGCTTGGCGGTGACGCAACCTGACAGGATTTGCCGATAGTCAGTTATCTGGGTGGGTTTGCCTTTGTTTTTTACTGACTTCAACCACCTCACCCCCGTTTAGATATCGGCGGCTCCCTCACAAGAAGAACTTAAGCAAGGATGGGCCAGCCTCGCCATCTGTTGTGGGGCGATCCTAGGAGGTCATCCATCATCCCGTCGGGCCCCCCCACTTTACCTCTCGCCGCAACCGCACACAGCCTGCCGACTTCCCGTCTGGTGGGGAGGTGCTGGAAGTCACTGGGGTCTTCGGGAGGCAGGAAGGATCGAGCCTAGTTTACTCCTTCAAGAGCGCGTCAAAGCTAGCCCGTCCCCCTGCTCCCCAACCCTTCTCCATCGTTTTTTTTTTTTTTTTTTTTTTTTTTTTTTTTTTTTTTTCTGGCAGGGAGGACAGGAGCGTACACCGCACTCACATCTATACCCCTGGGTGGGTGTTTGTGCGGCCGTTTTTGCGCTGTCATGTGCGCGCATGTGCGCGGCATGTGCCAGTCATGTGCCAGGCCTGTGCGGCCCTTTTTGGATGGACTTCCTACTGTGCACGTCGTGCCCGGGCATGTGCGGGGGCATGTGCGCTGTGTTTTGATGTATCCATCATACGCACATGCGCGTACAATCCGACGCACATGCGCGCACATGCCTGCACATGCGGGAGGTGTTCGAGAATCGCAGATCTGTCATCGGCACATGCACGCACATGCCTGTGCAACCTCTCTTCGGGAGGCCGCGCGGGCCCGCACATGCACGCACATGCGGTGAAGCGCGCGGGCGCACATGCGTGCACATCCCAATGCACATGCACGCTCATGCCCTAGGAGCTGTCTGGGACCCCTGTGCCTCCAATGCCTCCTGGCCTTCGCAGAGCTAACCTGGGGCGTGCCAGGGCTTCCTGAAAGAGTTTGTTGTGCGTTTAGACTCGCCCGCTGCTGGCGGG